CAAAGGAAGCAAAAATCAAAAACAATCAATATATTTTTTAATGCAGTTGTAAAAGGCGAGAGCCAGCTCACAGACCAACCAGCGTAAAACTCATGTTCACTTTAGGTAAAGAATATAACTAGTTTTGAACTCACATTTCTATGATATGCTTCCAAAAAATTATCAAGAGGAAATGATTTTGGTTATCACTTTTTAAGCATTTTATATATATTTCATGGGTCTTATGATCACATGATTTTACGAATTCCAAATGCCTTTACTATAATAAAATAAAGTAAAATTAAATGAAGTGTTAACAAATGAAATATGGCTTCATTTTCAATGAGTATTCTAATATATACTAACAATGTGTTAACCATACAAGTATGAACTTCATAGATAAACAAACTTTTAATTAATCAAGCACTAATTCTTAATTTAATTACAAATCTGTTTTGTATGATTTACAATTGCCTTTAAGATAGATTTTTAAAGACTGTGATGCATAGAGTCAATATGTAAAATTTACCATGTTTGCATAGGAATAATTGATGCATAATGTTTGTAAATTTATAAAATTTGTAAACATTCAATATTTATGAAATACAAGCTTTTTATTCAGTAATGTTTTCTCTTTAACATAGTTTCATTAGAACACTATTTATTTATTTTTGCAATTTACCATAATTTAAGGCCTGATATTGCTGAATTAATAGTTTCTAAATTTTAATAAAACAAGGCAATGAAAAGATTGAATCGAAACTTTTCTGAAATGGCTAAATATCTATTTAAAGCATCGTAACATTAAAGCAAAGAGATACATTAGATACATAATAATATTTTCTGTATATTAAGTACAGATTTATTGTGCTTTTCTTCTTTCTCCTTTTGGTAAAAATTGGAAAAATTCCAACCACACATTTATATGTCTCCTGAATGCTAGTAAAAATAAAAAATCCGTCAAAGTTTTGCCAATTCAAGCCTATTCATGAGAGAATGAAATGCAAATCAATGATCACATCACTCCATGACATCCAATCACATACTCATTTTTCCCCTCCCTGCCCTGATGAAACGTTGATGGGTTTTTTATTTTTATCTGAATTTTGGAGACATAAGGTTGTGTGGTTGGGATAATTCAAATTATAACATAACATTTTTCTACAGTTTCTTTGTGGATTTCTCTCTCTTGGTGAGTTTTTTTATTGATTTTTTTTTTTTTTCCTATCCCCCAGGAATTTCTTGATTACAGATACAATATATATATAAATGGTATATATACATGAATTTTTCAATTTTCTTTTATTGCCCAAGGGCATTTTAAGGTAAGAGAGCTCTGCACGCTGTATGCATTCTTTGCATCTGTGGCCAGAGGCCTTTTATAAGGAGGTACGGAGCATCCCTGAGTTATGGTTATATCATTACGACTATCTAATTATTATGTCATATTTTTATTGATTTATATTTTCTGTAAGTTTAACGATATTGTATCTTGTGAAATCAATGAGAATGAAATGCATAGATGCAATATTAATCTTACAGTGGACTCCTTTTGTATTACTATCCACCCAAAAAGCTCATTTACTTTAGATATTCACTAGCTTTTATAGTTTTAAATAATATTTTCTCTTTAAATATCATAGATTTCAATCATTTTCTTGGTTGATTCAAAAGGTCAATTAAAAAAGAAAATTTTAGTTTTGATAAAAAAACACACGACTATTCATTAACTAGTTAGTAATACGCCTGCTAAAGGATTAAAAGTTTTAAGTGAGTTTAATATTTAAAAAATAAATAAATAAAAGCCATAGATTTGTAAATATATCAAATACCATTGTTATACTATCGATAGTTATGCATATATTACTAACCCAATAATATGTGATTTATATGTTATATGGTTAGAAGTGAATCAATCTTTAGTATTATTTCTGTGATTCTGTAAATCTTTTGGGACTAGAATGTTATTAGGCTCATTAGAGATGTTGAAGTTATAATTATGACATAAACTAAATGTTTTCTTAAAATTAATACATTTTAAATAATGCAGGATTACAGTTATAAGTCATTATTTAATTATGGTGCAATTACTTATAACAAGAGAATTATTAATAAACAGTTTGTTCGTAATAGATTTGTTTAAAATGTGCCATTTAGAGGACCCAGCTAATAAGACTTTTTTTGTGCATCTTGCTGATATTAGTTTTTATTTGCATGACAATAGCATTTGCCAAGATTCAAGAAATCCTTGATCAAATCAGTGCCTGGGCAAATGTAAATGGATTAAGGTTAAATGCTGCCAAAACTCAGGCCATTGTCATTAGTTCCAAGCCCCTTATTAGATCTCATGCCGACTTTCCCATATGGCACCTCAATGACCAGCCAATCTCCTTCTATTCCTCTGTTAAAAATTTAGGATTTTTTCATAGATCAAACCCTCTCCTGGAACCACCATATTTCTCCCATCTCCCAACGAACGATTTCTACCCTTAAACTATTCCATTGCTTCCGCCATGTCCTACCTCAACATATGAGTAGACTCCTAGTTTCCTCTCTCATCTTCCCCCACTTTGACTACAGCTGTGTGATGTATGATGGCCTCTCGGTGGAGCTCCGCAGTAGAGTGAAAAGACTAATGAATAACTGCATAAGATTTGTAATTAGTGCCACAGGATAGTCCCATGTCTCTCACTATTACACTGAGTTGAAGTGGTTCTTTCCCTCCTTTCAAAGACAATATATCTTAGGTACGTTCCCTTATAAAATCATCAACAATCCTTCTTATGCCTACAACCTTCTCCAATTCAAGTCCTCAGTCCATTCCCTTTCCACAAGATCTCCACCTTTTTTTTTTTTTTCTTTTCTTTTTTTTGGGTCCTCCCCTTCCTTGCCGTTAAGGCTATACGGGGTTTTCCCGGGCCAGGGGGTGTGGGCGGGGATTTAAAAGACGCCTTGGCACCGGGACACGAACTCATGACTGTTTTTTTATTCAATATATTTTATATCAGGTTGCAGGGCAACGGTGGTGCTGTCCATAACGCGTTAGCCCATTCGGCCACCCCGCCCACTCCAAGATCCACGCCAAGATCTCGACCTTCTGACCTTTACATCCCTTCTCACTGATCTGCCTCATTTCAAAATTCCTTTCTTTATTGGTCAATTTCTGGAATTCCCTACCTATCAAAATTCCCCTTCCATATTCACATTCAAGACCATCCTATTCCAATTCCTATCCCAAAAACAGTCAGATACTTGCTAAGCTTTTGATATTATACATTTCTATTATATCATTCATCATCAAATGATAGTACTATTCCATTCTGTAAACTTCACTAGGGATATTACAATATCTCTTAATGCTACTGAATTCATCTATTGTTTGTTTTTACTATTATTTTTTATTCTTATACAACTAAATCCGTACCTATAGCTACAATAACATAATGATGTGTTATCATCTTATTATTTAAATATACTATTCATTATTTAAATACTCTGACATTTTATATTAACAGATTCATCTTTCCTTTGTTAGCAGAAACACAGAGCTTATTTTAAATAAGAACTCAATGTATTTTTTATTTATTTTTTCTTAAAACTGTATACTTATAATTTTTCCTACTATGCATAGTTTTAAGTGTCTTGTCATAGTTTTAAGTGTTTTGTATATACATTTTTTTTTTTTTGTATATAGTTTGTTTAACTAATATTTTCTTTACTTTTTCTTTTTTTGTTATAGTTTTATTTAGGCAAGATGTAGTCTTTTAATTTGGACTACTTTGTTATTCTAAAGGGACTTTGTTCTAGAATAAGGTTATTTTATATTTCTATTTCTATTTTCTAGTTTTGATTAGGTTGCTTAAAAAATTAATTTATCCTGGTTTCCTATTATCCTAGACATGTCAAAAATCTTTTTTACAAAGGCAACTTAAAGTTTATAAAAATTAAATGAAGTAATAAAATTATTTTAAATTTACAAATCATTTGATTATGCATTGTAATAATTTTAAATAATCTATGATTCTAGACAATTTATCCATTTATCTACTTTAGTATAATTATCAATTATCAAGTCGGTAACACCAAACGAACCTATCTAGAGAACTATTGAATTTATTATGTCTAAGGAGACAGTTAACAGATCTTCAGCTGGTGGCCAAAAGAACAGGACTTTTGCATTCTCTTAAAGTGGGAAGCAATACTGACACACTGCCATGTGAGTTCTTCATGGTCTGCAATTTCATTGTGGGCAAGTTGTTGAGCCTATGCTTTAATTTTTTGAATGACATGAAGATGCTAAATTGCACATGAGTTATTAAGTGCATAACCATTAAAAAAAAAAAAATCAAAACATGTTACCAAAAATATTAAATGGACATTATGTTTCTATTTATTTATTTATTTAAATTAAACTAACATCCATTGAAATGAAATTATCCTGTTTTAATATTCCAAAAATTATTAAAATAACAAAATGATGAATTTCATGATTTTGTGTTGCCAATTACCATGACTATTTCAAACATCCAAATTACGAATTCTGATACTTGTATGTAGAGGAAATTCATCTACTAACTGTAGTAGCAAAAAAAAAAACAAAAAAAAAAACTACATATATATATATATATATATATATATATATATATATATATATATATAATATAAATATAATAATACATTAAAGAAATAATGTTTTATTAAAGTTTTGGAGGATTTATTTTAATTTAAACAAGGATTTTGAAAAGTATTTTTTTTTATTAATTGTTTTCTAAGAACATCAAAGTTAATAGGTATATAGATGAAAAATTAGGAAAATGAAAATGAAGCAATAATTGTATAATAAAATTTAGAGCTACATATAATCATACCTTGCTAATATTTATCTTCTAAACACAACAATTTTTCATAGTTTTTATACATAGTAAGCATTTTATCATCAAGGCGAGAACCACTTTTTGGATTGCCGAAAAGTCCAATTTGGGTCAAGAATGAAACAGCCATTAATGGTTTAAGGGGCTCACCATGTTTAGCGTCCATTTCCTTTATCATTGACGTCAGTTCATCAGCCCTCTTCGAATCCTTCGAAGTGGTAGAGTCCTTCGTCAGTTTAGCCAAGCTCAACTGTAAGCAGATCAAAACATGTAATTTTAAATTTATATTATTGTTGATAAAGTTAAAATATACAAAACAGAAATATGTGAACATAGCTTAGCTTTATGTATACTATTTGATAAGTAATATGAATAATAACAAATGTATATTTATTTGAAAAGAAAATCATTTAACCATAAATTTACCCGTTTCTTATGAACTACGAATGCTGAGAAAAGTCATTGTTAACATAATGAATTGCTGTAATGAAAGAAACAAACATAATTTGATAAATGCTAGAAGTGATACTTGAAATCGGTTTTAATATGATAAAAATGTAATAAATATTAAATTTTAGTTTTTAATCTGAATAATATCAGGTCTTAAATATAGCTTAAGGTTTAATTGCTATAAACAAATATTAATTTATTATTATTCTGTCCTTCAATGGATTAATTTTTAATTGGATTTCTTATCAACAAATTACCTTCATAAATGATGTTGAACGAGAATTGATCAGACTAATTGCACATTTTTCAAATTTTCAAATAATTCTATGAGGGTTTTGATAAACAATGTACCTCTTTCTCGAGACCAGCAATGACATCAGCAAGCCTGATATTCTCCTTACGACTGTAAAGGAGGTCTTGGTCTGCTCTGTCCAACCTTGCTCGCAGAGCTTGCACTTCAGCCTGTAGCCTAGCTGTTTCTTGTCTGCCCTGCCTCTCGGCTCGTTCTGTTGCCAGTCGAGAGGCAGACAACTCTGCCTCTAGGCTTTCTCGTTCCGCCCCTGTAGTAAGGGCCTCGGTCTGTAATGTACCTGCAACATTTTACTTCTTTGTCCAAAAGATCCTCATATTTAAGCTTAATTAAATTTTTGTATATACACACTACATATCCTCCATATGTTTCCGTATGGAGTACCAGGAAGGTCGACCGGATTATGGCACTTGCAATTGATTATCTTAAATTAAAATTAAGATACTCTCCTGCATGGCTAGTATTTGGATTGGTAATCACCTGAAATATGGGATGGCTTGTAAAGGAAAGCCACCATGCTTCTTTCTTCCTTCCATCTATTTGTCTGAAGTTAGAGTAAATAGGATACACTAATACCGACTCACAGTAGGCAGCCATATTTGTTGTGTAATAACTAATAGAACCAGTTGATTCTCAATGATCAAATTCATATCACTCATTCCTATCCATCAGAGGTATAAATGGTATCAATTTCATAATTTTTCACTCAGTCCCTTTTGTGATATACAAAATAAAAAATTGCTGAAAATGACTTTTGAGCATTTTTGAAAATTCGTATTTAAAAAAGGACAGGGTTTTCAAGATTGAAATTTCATCATCAAGAAGTGCAATGGAATTATTACATATGAAGAAAAAATTAAAGTTGAGGCTATTTTCTTTATTACACTTTTACAGCCCTAAAAGTCACTTTTTTTGTCTATTTTCATAATTTTTTTTAAACCACTTTCCTTTCTTTTTAGGTGATTTATTGATCAACAGAAATGTAGAAAGAATACTCTAAATTATTTCGGATTTTGTTTTGGCTTAATATCTACAAAATAACCAGAGTTACAGGCATTTTCCCAAAACATGTTTTCAGTCGAATGAAAATTAAAAATGGCCGCCGAGAAAAAACTGTGAGCTTCAACATTTTTTAACTACGGCTTTGAACTCTCAAATAAATGTGGAATAACTGGTAAAAAAATTATAAACATCAAAAATGTCGAGCAACACAGTCTGGGTGATTTCAAATGGATTGATCCTAATGTTATCTTTAACAAAACTGTATTTAAATATTCTTTTAGATTGTTTAAACTAACCAGTTTTAGTTGTTAACTCTTTAACAAAACTGTATTTAAATATTCTTTTAGATTGTTTAAACTAACCAGTTTTAGTTGTTAACTCTTTCTTTAATTCTTCCATGTTGGCAGCTTTCTGTGCCAGCTCTCTCCTTAGTTCAGTCTCAGTACGACGGGCTCTATCTAACTCTAGATTAAGGCGGTTAGCAGCATCCCATTGGGCAGCGAGATCACTGTTCAACCTTTCCATCTAAGCCATTAAATATTTTTCAGTATAGCAATATATATTACATTTTATAATTTAGAGATGTATTTTTGTGCGACTGTTTTAAATGTTACCTTGGCTGATAAATAATCCAATTATCAGTCATAATATGTATATTATGGTCATTGACGTCTCCACCTAAGTTCGTAGGTCATTATCAGGGCTAAAATTATAATTAAATCAGAAATATATTAATAAACCAAGAGTAAAAGATAAATAGTACACCTAATGTCAGATAAATTAAATGGTAAGGATTCTAATACTAATAGTGGTACAACCTAAGAAATAAATTTTAAAATTATAAAAACAATTAGAATATGTTAGATCAACATTATAAAGCGAGGATTTGTGACAAAAAGAATATGGTTAAATAAATAAGCCAAGATAAATAGTAGATTAATTAGCTAATGGCTTTTGGCTGAGTTCACACAGTAACTTTATTGGATGGTTTAGACAGTAAGATTCATCTTAATCTAATATACAAATTAGTTGTTTTTTCATTCATTTTTAGTTATTTTTAATATTAGTCCATAATTTCCACTCATACTTATTCAGTTATATTATTTTTAGTTTTCCATTCTCACTTTGTAATGTTGATCGAACATAGTCAACAAATTGCTTTTTAATTCTAAAAGTCACTTTATTTATTTCTTAGATCTTGTCATATTATTATTATTTGCATCCTTACCACTTAATTTATCTTTACTTTATGAGTACTATTTGTCTTTTTCTCGTGGTTCACTTATGTACTTCTGTATTTTCCTATTTTGGATTTAGTTTTAATATTAATCTTTATGATGACCCACAAGCTTAGATTGAAATTTCTGTAACCACAATTAACATATGATTATTGAAAATTCTGATTATTTATCATCCAAAATATTACATTTTATATTATAAGAATTCTTCTAAAGAAAATTGAAAAAGGGCATTAAATTGTTACTTCATTAAAATACCCTCATAAAATAATAAACAAAGAAAATCCCTTCAGAACATTTATCAAACCAATAATTACTAACACAACTTTGTAATACAGTCTTAAATTTGCAAATAATTATGAAAATTTCACTTAAATGATTTATTAAACTTCTAGTTTTTATCATATAATTTTTTTCTTCTTACTAAAACTGCCTATCAGTATATAAGCAGATTTATTTTCCTCACTACACAGGTATTAGTAACTGATTCAGAGCTAATTTTTATTTTTGATGACTAATAATATTAAATGAAATACTGTGCCATAGTATTAATGTGTTTATAACTTTTCTATTCTAATTTTATACAATTCTTCTAGAAATATTGTATTCAATATCCAATGTGGAAAGTTTTTTTTCTTTTAGTCCATTATTATGAATAAATACCTGCATAGCATATCGTCTCTCTGCCTCGCTCACCCGACGTGCAGAATCTTGTAAAGCTTCTCTTTGTTTCTCGCTCATGCGATCGAGCTCAGACCTTAATCGCCGTACTTCCATCTCCAACTATTGATCATTAAGTCTGACTATAGTCTTACTTTATGATAAAATTTGACATAATATTTCAATTATTTATTTTTAAATGAAAACCCCGCAAAACTAAGAAAAAAACAAGTATTTTAAATTCTAGCGATATCAAAATTTTAAGGTTGATAGTTTATTTATAATTTTTCATTTTTTATTTAATAATTTTTGTAGGAAAGAAACCTTAATAAATTGACTAATCAAGATAATACAACTGAGTCAAAATAATTTACAATGGGTAGAATTCTGAATATAATATGAAATTTAAAACCTATAATGCAGAAATATACACAATGGTCACCAAACATTCCCATTTAATGTGTAAGAAGTTGAGAGAATAAGAAACATGGGATAAAAATAAGTTTGTAGTTTTGGGAAGGAAATTCATTTTGGATGATATTACTGAAACGAAGAAGGTGAGTTAAAAAAATGTATATTGTTGATGTTTTGTTTTTTATACACAGCTTTTATTATACCTACTTAATTATAAGGTCATTAGAAAAAGTATAAATTTAAAGTGTGTAATATACATTTTAAAAGGTAAGAAAGCTACATTTATGCCGATCCTATGAGAAAACCGGAATTTAAAAAAAGTTAGGAATCAATGCACTTTTCTATCACTCAGATAGCAACAACTGACCTCAATGTTTCTATTTTTCTCTGCATTAAAATTATAAATTCCAGATAGGACAAAAAGTAAGCTGGGTATACTGTCTGTATGGCTCTACAGACTGATGTGGTCCTTGGCCTTCAGTATGAGAATACAGATAGTTTTATTTTTCTACTATAAATTAAAATTTACCATTAAAGTCCAATGCTCTTTGTCAATATAGGTTTCCGGTAAGGAGCTGGCTCTCTCCTGTAGTAACAGAAGAGCTTCTCCATACTATCTCGGGGTAGGGGAACCATAGGCATGCCCCAAGCCAGTGACTATTCATGGCTTTTGGGATTATGTAATCCAAAAATAGTACTATTATGAATTATGAATGCCTTCGTTAGATTTGTCACAGGGGCCCTGAGGTATTCCCGTGTTTCGCACCACTATTCTGAATTAGGATGGCTCTTCCCTTCCTTCCGAAGACAATATTTCCTAGGCACATTCCTTTACCAAATAATCAATAGTCATCGTCCGTCCTACGCATACAATCTCCTACAATTCAAATCATCTATCCACACCCTCTCCACAAGATCTCGTCCTTCTGACCTTTACACTCCTTTCCACAGATCTGCATCATTTAAACATTCCTTCGTTGTCCGTTCCACCGCATTTTGGAATTCCATCCCACTAAAAATCCACCATGCATCATCCTTATCCACCTTTAAAACCCTCTTATTCCAATTCCTCTTCACAATCCAATCAGAAGCTGGTTAAATACATACTATGTTATAAGGATTTAATTTTCTTTAGACATTATTTTTTTCTCTTATTTTTTATTGTTTTATTCTGTGTTGAACGTGAATTTTCATCACCACTCACTAAGCATTGTGAGTAGATAAAATCTGTTTTCCTTAAGTTCTAATTTGTTATTCATGGAATGTATTTCAGTGAAATGTATTTTATTTCTAATTATCTTCAACATACTTCTCGCTATGTGTATATATATACTTTATTTTATTTTCTCTTCTCCTAATCTTTACGCATAATCACTTAAATATCTTAGGGAACATATGTATATCATTATTTGTTTTTTTACATATTTTTTTGTTTTAGTTTTTACAATTTCTTTCCCTACATATTAACAGTTATTATTATTTTTTTAAATTTTTATATTCCATCACTACAATGCTTTACCTATAAAATAGATTTTACTTTCCTTATAATTTCATTCAGTGATTATTATGCAATTATTTTAGCTCCAATATTGTAGTACTGAACCCCTATTACCAAACTGTCCTCGTTAATTTATCCTAAGAGCATAATTAATACTTAATGTATTACATGTATTTTGTCATTATTCATTGTAATAAGTCTTTTGACCAGATTTGTAGTTAATATATATGAACAATACTGTTATTCTAAAGGGACCTAGTCCCAGAATAAAGATGATTTTTCTATTCTATTCTATTCTACTATGGGGACCATTGCAGAATGCCTATTGCAGATGTAGTGGTTGACATGTTAACAGCTCCACAGTAAGGATCATCTGTTTTCTCGAATTTATCCTATTTAGTGCCAAAGATATGCTAGAATGACTACTTTTTGTTGGTGGGCAGCCATCATGATAAGGTGGAGTTTGACGGATACCCGTTGGCCAAGTATAGCTCCCTTTCGTTCCCGACCTCATTTATCAACATACACAATGTGCCAATATCAGAGCGAATTTTCTACCAATATTATGTCAACTAATGAATATATGTGTATAATCATTTGACAAATGTGATTAAATAAAATGCTTAAATATAAATGATTAAAATAAAATGGTTATATATAAATGATTTTTTTTTTCTTTAAATATACCACTATTTTTAGATGTAAATATAATTTTTCACCAATATACTATGCTAATATATTAAAAATTCTACAAAGCAAGTATATACAACTAAATTAAAATATATAAATAACCCACAAAAAAAGAAGCTCTAATTAACAAAAAAAAAATTGTTTAAAAAACTATACACAAATACCTACAATAGTTTTAATATAAAAATATTTACTGTCATTATTCTACTTACATGAATAGTTATAAAACAAATTTTTGATACCATCAATAATTAAATATCATGGCTGTATGTAATAGATATGACACAACAATAAGGGGTCTCCTTATACTAAATTTATCGTTCACTATTAATTGATATTAAATAATATAATAATGAGTTACAGTGCTGTACAGTTGGAACTTTTTAAAATGTTTTATAAAATTTCTTTTAGATACAACAATATTACTCTACCAAACTGTAATTTTAATGTTTATGTACAAATCTATATCATTAAATGAGTAAGCAGACTTCAGATTTTACATTAAAAGCCGTGTTTATAAAAAGTAAGGTGCTTAATATAGAAAAGCTACTAAATTGTCAAGGAAAGCACCTAACTGAAACAGAAGCTTTCATTTATTTGTGCATAAGAATACAATGAGATTAAGATTGTGTAGTAATAGACATAATAATAATACTACTAAATGAAATTTTAATGATGATATCTACATGAAATATGATATCTAGTTAGAAATGGAATTTTTCATACCTCCTATTATTAAAATTGTGTTCCTTTTGTTAAGTTGTTATACTTACAATAGAGCATTGTGTGCAAATAATGTAAAACAGTGTTAATTAATAGTGAAAATATTGTTAGATAAATGGGTATGTTTAATACATGTGCTACCCATAAATTCATGTATAAACATAAATTAATTGTATTAAATTGCCATAAATGAAGTGAGTTTATATTTGCCTTTAAACAATCAGAAATCCTTTTAAAGGTCTTTTTTTCTTTCCATCATGGAGTTATGAATTATTTTAACAAAGTTTTCATAAGTAGATAAATCATTGTACCAATACTGTATATAACATCCACACATGAAATTCCCATGATCTTGAGATCTCATAGCTAACTAGCTATGATAATACCTCATATTTGAGGTGACACATGACTGAGACTGAAATATTACAATAAAATCATTCACAATACTGTTTAAAACATGTCTTGTTCAATGTTTAAAAGATTGGACTAAATCTTGATAAATCTCAATTCATCAATTTATTCTTAGAGAAGAAATATGATCTTTTGCTTGCATTCACAACTAGCCTAATTCGTAAAGGCATAGAATACAATCAATTACGTTTGATAAGAGGGTGGCAAAGGGCTTAGATATTAAAGAAACATGAGAATTAATAAATCTGAGAATGATATGCTCACTCAAAAGTTTGTAATCATTTTGGGTTATGATGATCATTGGGGTCTGTTTAGGAGTATTGTATATTTATATTGCATAAAAGCATACTAAATATGCATAAATACCGTCCCTTCCTCCTTTTTCATCTCTCCTCAAACATTATAAAATTTTACAATGTTTAGAATACAAGCTTATCATTAGTTTTAACCCCACAAATGCAATTATATGCTATGATTTTTAAAGACACAGAATGCTAGTCATTTTTCTCATTTAATAAATGTTTGTTGAATTATATAAGTATGCAACTTAATGGAGATCATTTTGGAACAGATGTAACTTTTTTTTATTAAATTAACAATAACTTGCAAATTAGTGTAAGATCCGTAATTCCATATGGATGTCCCTCATATTGTTTGCCTATACAGTTAATAAAACATGAATTTACTCACACTGTATGTTACTGGAGTTTTAAATCAATTTCTTAAGTATTTTAGGCCTAATATTTTAAACTAACATTTTCTCATGTCTTTGTCAATGTAGAGATTATTCTATACTGGGAAGTGTGGAGATAGTACACATCTTTTTGTCCTAAAGTAAATCTGTAGTATTTGACTTGTATTTTTAAAAATCAAATTATTCAAATACGTTTTAAAAGAAAATCTGTTCTGTTTTTTGTTCTTTTAAATATTTGTCCTTATTTTTAATATAATAAATAAATTTTTTTTTTTTTGGATCTCAAATTCTGCCAACTCTCAAAAACTGGCATTCTGGGAAAATGTCTACTCATTCTTTGTAAATCAGAACCTGCCTATCAACCCACACATTTGTGAAATGGCATATTTAAATCTTTGAAATCACCTCTCCTTGATTATGCCATAGTGAGATGATCGGCACATCAATCTCAAAAGAATTAAAAATAAATGACACTTCCACTTTTTGTCATTTATTCTGGCTTCTAGGATTTTCTTAGCCATAAGCTCTTATTTTAAGGCACTGTCTAATATATCTTGCCTTCCTACAGAAGACCAATGTGGAATCTGCATACTAGACTTAATAGATAAGAAGGTAACCAAGGAAATAGCAAACTGTAAACATAACTTAACATAATCATTCACAAAAAAAAAAAAAAATCTTTCACCTTCTGTATGATTAATAATTCCTCATTCATAACAGTACTAAGGATCTACATAGACTTGAACCCCAAGGAACAGTTAAATTTTTGAATGTCACATGCATCTAATCTTTTCAGTAATTTTTCATTCCATATTTTTAGCAATTATACTTTAATTGCACAATCCATTATTCAGGTGCATTACTTTATTTTATTTATAGCATTTTCTTTGATTTTAAAGGTTTTTTTTTTTAATTTCTAATTTGTATTCCATAACCAAGTATATTGTCTATTTAGGAAATTATGAAATAACATGATTAATCAGTATCACAGATTAAAAAAAAAAGAAAAATATACATAAATATACATATAAGCATATGCAAATAAAAATAAGCAAATGCAAAAGATTTTCATGAATTAGTCACTTATTTAAAAAGAATAATTTAGGAAAGGATGAAATTTTCTCAAAGTGCTTGGAAGTATGAAGGCAATATATGAACTCACTCATTTAGCATTCACTGACATAGAATTTTTACAGTATGTATAAAATCTTTATTTAAGAATATAGAATAAAAATAAACAGATTGATGAAACAACAGGAAGAGACTTCTTGAAGACAAAATTTGAGATTTTGAGATATTATTAATCTTTTAGTGCATTGTAATATATTTGAAAAATAAATAAGTTCTCTTTATTAATTAAACATTCATCCTATTTAAAATCATATAAAATAATGTGATACCTGAATGGTTAAAATAAACTTTGTAATTGTACTTAAGGAATCAACTATGAAAATTAATATATATTACAAAAAATTCAGGTTAAACACTAATTAGGTATTTCAAATTCAAAATTCAATAAATAACTCATGATTGATGTAAAGGTGTTCAAGACTAAATAATGAATCATAGTGTGATACTAACAATAACAATTAAAACTTTTGGGGAAAATTTATTTAGTATTGTCACAGCAATGAATGAAAGCTTTGTGTTTTTGTTTTTTTTTCTAACATTTATAACAAAGCCAGATGACCAGAAATACAGAGAGAAGTTTTTATTTTGAATGTTTATATCAAAATTTGTTGATTAACAATAAATATATAATTTGTTAATTCCATAAATTTGAAAGGATAATGACAATTTTTCAGTGAGATTGTAGCCGATAAAAAATTCACAATGACTTTACCTGATTTTTGTCAAATTGTGCTTGATCAACAACATCTAAACTCCTCTTTGCTTTCTCAGAGGCCGAAGCTTCTTTGTCCCTCAACTGGCTAACAATATTCTGAAGGCTAGAAACTCTTTCATTCAATTCATCCCTCTCCCTAATACAAGAGAGATAAATTTCAGAAAAAAAAAAAACAAAAAATGTTACAGCTTATAAATATTTATTTATTACAGAAATATTGTAACCTTCTTTACCTTTGTAACGATTCTAGTTGTTGTAGGTGCTGTTGGCTGACAGGGGGCTGGATAGGCTTGGAATGTGCTTTCAGATAAGAAGCCTCATCATGCGCCTTCCGTAACTCCAGCTTACATTGAGTCAGCTGCGCTTCCAGCTCACTTATCCTGGAAGAGTAGACAATGCTTGGACCTCGTCTGCTTCTTCCCTATCATGATATTTCAGCTAAATATTTGCTCCAATGACAATGTAAATAATATTCAGAGTTAGAACCGTTTTACTCTCTTAATATCTTCTTGACATAATAAAAGTAAATGCAGTTTCAGTCGATATTATATGCTGAAAATTTAATTTCACGATATTTTTTTTTTTTTAATATCCTCTTAAGAACTGTTCTTTTGTTATCCAATCAACCATAAAATATTGTTGGTGGCTATTAGCAATCAACTGTAAAACAAACATCTGATTTTCTATTTAAATTATTAATTATTTAAAAACTTTTTGCAAAAAATGTCTTTCGACTATACTATCTATTAAGAAACAATTGGTTAATTCAGAGTCTTTTTTTGGTGTAAATGAGTTTTAAACATTTTACCAACATTGTACATTTAAATATAAATTGGTGATTAAGACAATGCAGAGCCAGAACTAAGATTTTTGCTACTGAGAAGCAAGCTTAATTTTGCTGCCTATTCTTTCATCACTCTTGAGGATGCCACCTCTTCTTATAGTCTAGACTAGTTTCTCTGTGACTACTGTTTGTTGAAGAAGTCAAGGAGCAAATGCAGAATTGGCTGACAATTAACTCTCAAACTTTTTATGAACAGGGATAATTCAAGCATTTAAATTTGTGAGATAAATATGTGGTTCACACAGGAGACAACATCAGTATGTAATAAGTAGTGATAACCTAGCCTTTTGAGGAAGTACACACACATCTCGGGAAGAGAGAAGAGTTGTCCCTTTCCCACCCCCCAATACAAATATAGAGGTGTGTTTCACCTCCTCCTCCACTGCTATTTGAAGAAAAAAATAAAAATTAAAATGAATAACAATTAATTTGAGTTTATATCCAAAGATAAGAATATGTATCAACATATTCTAGGATTCTATGATTCATTCATGTGCACAATTCCATTTTTATGTTAAGATTTTATCACATGTTTTGGAATAAATTTGAAGCATCGGAGAATTGAGAGTTTATCTCACTGCCTCAATCATTTATAAAAATGTAATATATTCAATTGCTTTGTAAACATATTTTTAAATATATGCGTAAGCAAAAAAAAAAAAAAAAAAAAAAAAAAAGAGGGTGTCTATTGCTCTCCTCCCTCTCCCTGATCAGAATGGAAAGTGTGCACAATGATCCACAATGGTTTCATTGTGACCCTTAAATCTCTACCGATCTATGAAGGTTAGTTCCAACTATTCAAATAGTTTGGTATCTTATTGGAAGAAATGATATGTTTTATTTTGACATGATTATTCAAAAGATAGTAGTTGGTGCAATGTTTCTCTAACATGTGGCATACTTTAATTTTCATCAATTTAAAACAGGGTCCAAAGTTTCATTGAGATAGGGAGCGTCAAAATTATGGACCTGCTAATGGCCATTTCATGTTCTTTCATTGAATCATAGAGTAACAGAGTTATTCAAAGCTTTTTGTTTGTCATTAATATATGGGTCCTTGTCCACTTTCTTTCCGGCTATTTGTTGGGTAAAAACTGTCCAATATCTCTTTAATTTTTAAGAAAACAGTTAGAATTCACTTACAATCTATATCGGTATCATAGGTAATATATTTTTAATAAATATCATCAGATAATAATAATCCGTGTCATTGACAGAATTAAGGTCAAAACAACCAATACAAATAGGAAGAAATATTTTTCTTAAAACTTTAATGACCAAGCCATTCGAATGAAACTTTTTCCGTGGACGAAATTGGTTTTTTCTCCATAAAGTTGTTTTTTTCTCTCAAAAGTTGTAATATACTGTTAAAAAAAGTATCATGCATTCTTTTTTAGTTTCAAAAATAATTTAATCGCGATAGTTAAAAAAAAACGGATATGGCGTTTACACCTAACATTGTCCATAGAGATATTATTATTTTTTTTTTTTTTTACTTTCAATTACGTATATATGTAATATATAGTAAGGGTAATTACTTTCAGTTACGTATATATGTAATATATAGTAAGGGTAAGTATTGCAATCTTATAAATTTTTGATTCTGAGTTTTCAACGAAAATACACGTTTGGGGTACCTGAGTCCAAATAACCAAGTCCCGAAAAATGGTTGGTGTGTCCGTGTGTGTGAATGTTAGCAGTCTAGCTCAAAAATGAAAAGTCGTACCAAACTGATATTACGCATTTAAGATAGGTATATGCCTTAGATATGACAGCAACTTTTTCCTTAAAATCGGCTAACCGGAAGTGCCATTTTATATCAATGGTGAAACACATTTTTACAATTTTCTCAAAAACGGCTCTAACGATTTTGATTAAACTCGGTGTATCATTGTATAATTAAGAGGTCTTTAATATCATTTAGGTCTTATCCCCGTTGATGACACTTTACAGGGGTTAAATACCCAATGTTCATATGCGTCTTCCTCTAAAGTACCTTTAATATGGTTTATTTTAAATAATTAACTATCTCCCATTATTAAGAGTTACGAACAAATGCTGAATATAACTTTTTAAAGTATTTGATAATTGAATAAAGGAGAAAAAATAAAAATGCTTAATGAGGTCGAAAATGGATCTCCGCAAATACTAGTCAGAAGATATACGTATAATATATCGTTGGAAAGCGGAGAAGTTTACAAAAAAACCAATATCTAATATAGAAAGTTGTAGAAGCTAACGGAGAGTGGTAAAAAATTATAAATAATAATTTTTGAAAACTAATAACTAATAATATTTAACGTAAATCACATGTTTTCTAGGAAATTAAATGAAATTTACTAACTAAATGTAAACTTTTAAAATATTGTTAAGCTTGAAAACAGTATTTAAAATCCACATAATCAAGGCGATACATTGTTTAAAAACCTATTTCATTGTACTTGTATGAAAGAAGTAAAATATAAAATAATTTCATGGGTGTACAAAGTATATCTTTATAACCTTAAATATATTTACTGTAGTTTAATAATTCTAGATCCGATATTATATTTAAATAATTAGGTATCAACGTCCGTTTATTCCGAAATATTGTCGTGTAACTTTTTAGAAAATTAAATTAGTGAGTAATTTGACGAATCTTTCCTTTGTAATATTCCAACAGTATCCACTAGTAGAGATGGGCAGTACTCGATTACTTTCATGATTTGAGTAATTTTATTAGGAAAAAGTATCGAGTAGTTTCTGTACTCGGCCTGGCAGCGGCGAGTACTGAGAGTATTCGAACTGACCAACCCCGAGCCCCCATTAATCGATATTAGACTAACCATCATGTCTTGGGGGGGCCCTTTTCATAAAAATATACTGTCGGATTTTAGATAGTGCCCCCGGGCATCGAATTTTCATAACTTTTCCGGTTAAATCGATATCAGGGTCGAATATTATGTTTTGGGAGGCGCTTTTTATGAAACTGCTATCGAATTTGAAAATGGACTCCCCGGGCCTCGACTTTTTTTATCTTTTTGGATTAAATCAATATCAGGTTCGACTATTAGGTTTTGGGGGATGCTTTTTATGAAAATGATATCGAATTTGAGATTGGGCCCCCCGGGCCCCGACTTTTTTTAACTTTTTGGATTAAATCGATATCAGGGTCGACTATTATGTTTTGGGGGGCACTTTTTATGAAAATGATATCGAATTTTAGATAGTGCCCCCGGGCATCGAATTTTCGTAACTTTTCCGGTTAAATCGATATCAGGGTCGACTATTATGTTTTGGGAGGCGCTTTTTATGAAACTGCTATCGAATTTGAAAATGGACTCCCCGGGCCCCGACTTTTTTTAACTTTTTGAATTAAATCGATATCAGGGTCGACTATTATGTTTTGGAGGGCACTTTTTATGAAAATGATATCGAATTTGGGATGGGACCCTCCGGGCCCCGACTTTTTTTAACTTTTTGGATTAAATCGATATCAGGGTCGACTATTAGATTTTGGGAGATGCTTTTTACGAAAATGATATCGAATTTGAGATTGGGCCCCCCGGGCCCTGACTTTTTTTAACTTTTTGGATTAAATCGATATCAGGGTCGACTATTATGTTTTGGGGGGGCACTTTTTATGAAAATGATATCGAATTTGGGATGGGATCCCCCGGGCCCCGACTTTTTTTAACTTTTTGGATTAAATCGATATCAGGGTCGACTAATAGGTTTTAGGGGGTGCTTTTTATGAAAATGATATCGAATTTGGGATGGGACCCCCCGGGCCCCGACTTTTTTTAACTTTTTGAATTAAATCGATATCAGGGTCGACTATTATGTTTTGGGGGGCGCTTTTTATGAAAATGATATCGAATTTGAAAATGGACTCCCCGGGCCCCGACATGGACATCGATGGATATCGATTAAATCCGAAAGGTTACAAAAAGTCGGGCCCTGGGGGCACTATCTCAAAATGAATGAAAATGATTCGTAATCTGATATCATTTTCATAAAAAGCGTCCCCTAAAATATAATAGTTGACCCTGATATCGATTTAATCCAAAAAGTTAAAAAAAGTCGGGGTCCGGGGGGTCCCATCCCAAATTCGATATCATTTTCATAAAAAGTGCCCCCCAAAACATAATAGTCGACCCTGATATCAATTTAATCCAAAAAGTTAAAAAAAGTCGGGGTCCGGGGACTCCCATCCCAAATTCGATATCATTTTCATAAAAAGTGCCCCCCAAAACATAATAGTCGACCCTGATATCAATTTAATTGAAAAAGTTAAAAATAGTCGGGACCCGGGGGGCCCAATCTCAAATTCGATATCATTTTCATAAAAAGCATCCCCCAAAACCTAATAGTCGAACCTGATATTGATTGAATCCAAAAAGATAAAAAAAGTCGAGGCCCGGGGGCCCCAATCCCAAATTCGATATCATTTTCATAAAAAGCACCCCCTAAAACCTAATAGTCGACCCTGATATCGATTTAATCCAAAAAGTTAAAAAAAGTCGGGGCCCGGGGGGCGTATTCCCAAATTCGATATCATTTTCATAAAAAGCGCCCCCCAAAACATACTAATCGACCCTGATATCGATTTAACACAAAAACTTAAAAAAGTCGGGGCCCGGGGGCACTATCTCAAATCCGACAGCATTATCATAAAAGTCAAGTCGTGTAAAAAAGAAAAAAAAAAAAATGGTCCCCAAAGTTGATTAAATCCAAAATATTTTAATAATTATTTATTTTATCGATTTACATTAATATCGATACTATTTAAAAAAACTATACCCCCATAAGATAACAATGGACTTAAACATGGAAGAAATATTAAATATTCTACTCCTGTAATTTTTATAATGAAATACTCGATTACTTTGAAAAGTACTCTGAGTATGCTGAGTAGATTTGAAAATAGAAAGTACTCACGAGGACAGCTGATTACTTTTTGTACTCGTCAATCATGAGGTCGAGTAGTGATTGAAGTACTCGATACTCGAACCGGGCGAGTATTTGAGTAAATTACTCTGTAATTGTACTTTTTACTTAGAGTACAATTTTGCCCATCTCTATCCACTACTATTTCATTGTACTTGTGTGAAAGAAGAAGTAAAATATTAAAATATTTCATAGATACGTTTATAACCTTAAATATATTTACTGTAGTTTATAATAACTCTAGATCTGATATTATATTTAAATATTTAGGTATCTATCGTACGTTTATTCCGAAAAATCATTATGTAACCTTTTAGGAAATTAAATTAGTGAATAATTTGATAAATTATCTCTTTGCAATATTCCAACAGAATCTACTTACAATTAGTGTGACAACTTTTGACCTTTCTATGACAGACAATCCAAATCTCTTAATTTCGTTTTAGTAAACTTTACAATGGAAAATAACAGTTTAATAACCAATAGTCGTACAATCCATAATCAACGGATCGTACAATCTATCATTAACCGGTGATATAATAAATAGGACTTTTGTTATTTTAACGATATTTATGATTTGTTATCTGTAATTTTTTAGCTTTAGCTCGGTTAAAAATGCAATTGTAAAATTTTTATTACAGCCCAACATGACCAGAAAATAATATCTATTAAAAAGTTGAACGGTAAGTGAAAGTTATGTGTTGCGCGCACCAGATTTTTTTTCTATTTTTACTCTTGATAGTTATTTCTTACGTGAGAAATAGACCTGAATCTGCTTCTGGGTCAGTAGGGACCATCCCTGTTCACTATACCTGAATAGGCATTTCTACATTAAAGGAATAAACACCAACCTACAAAATTGAGGCTAGTCTAAGGCGGTATCTGGATATACTAGGTACTCGAACATTCGCTCGAGAGATACTGAACATTGTTTTTAGAGAATTATTCTTTAAATATAGTGGTGTATTTCCTATTAATTCCAAATTCTTAATGTTCTGTTTATCAAAAACTCTATTAGAGCACTCTCATAAACATAAAATGGTATGGAGATGGTTGACCGTGGATTCAATTTCAGAAGAAGTTAGTCGGCAATACGGTCAAAAAATACTAAATTATATATGAATATATATATATATGTTTTTTGTTCTTCCCTACCTCGCCTTTTAGGCTATATTGGATTTTCCAAGGCCGGGGGGTGAGGGCGGAGAATTTAAAATCCCTTCCGGCATCGGGAGGCGAACGCGTACTATTTAATCTTTCATATAACTTGGATTATCTCGTTGCCGGGCAACTCGCGGTGCTGTACACTCTAGTGAATAGCATCCTAGCTTACTATAGTAATTATTCCTAGTTCAAGACTGGCCTCGCTATATGTAAATCTTTTTGTGTGAGCGGGGTGGCCGAACGGGCTGACGTGTGTGCAACAGCACCGCTGTTGCCCGGCAACTTGATATATGAGTGATTGATAAAAAATAGTCACGAGTTCGCGTCCCGGTACCAGGGGTGTCTTAAATCCCCGCCCACATCCCATGGTCCGGGAAAACCCCGTATAGGCTTAAAGGCGATGAAGAGGAAGACAAAAAAAAACAAAAAACTCGCGGTGCTGAGGTGCTGTGCACTTTATACACTGTGCACATGTACACTTTATTAATTTTATCTAAAATTAATTTTAAAGCAACGTAGTATCAAAATTTCAAAGTAATCGGTAAAGAACTTTGAGATTGAGACGGAGATTAGCGGTTTTGAACAAGCTAAAATTAACATTATTATTTACATTGCTTCCAGTTTTTTTTTATTGATAACACTAAACTACGCCATTACACACTAAACAAAAAAAAAAAAAAAATGAATTGAGAAATAGAGGAAAAAAGGGACTGAACTCTTTGCCCTTTATCTATTGATTTCAGGATAATATATGGTTATTAATGTTCATGTGATTTGTTCGATTTTGGGAATATTAGACAGTGAATGTTGAATAATGCATTTGATGGTATTTTAAATATTTTTGAAGATTCACTTAAATGTATGAGAGAGATATAGCTCACCTTGACCTCCTTGTCCGAATCTTCTTCTTCAGTGTCATCCCTCTGTTGACTTCCAACTACCTCTTTCACCTTGTCCAACACCCTCGACAGCTCCTCCTACAATTACCTCAGTACATCTTAAGTAGGAAACCATTCATTTAGATTATTATAAGCGTGCTTGTGCAAGTAGCAACATGCCTAGAAAGACCATTAAATGTGTGTACTATCTGGAATCGACGGAATCCATTTAAAAAAAAAGTAATAAGTTTTCACCTTAAAGGGGTTTTCTTGGATAACAATATGATATTTCGAAATAGATTAAATAGCAGAAAAATCAGGGATGTTTAAAATATGTAATTTTAGTGACTTATCGAGAAATTTTTCCGATCAATTGGCTTAGGTTTACAAGCATAGATGGTAAAAACTACCTCACATAATAAACAAAAAACATTTATTACTGCAACGAAAATGGATTTTGGATCCCGTGGTTGATAAGCAATTAGTGTTATATTAGCGACGGTTACATAAGAAGGTGGCCTGGTTGGAATCAATGTTCAACTGCCAGGATTTTCTCCAACTGATAAAAGGTTGAGAAACCCACTTTACGGAGTGCGGCTTTGCTCCAAGTGGACCTTCCCAAAATCGTTTCATGGCTGATAGAAAATAAAATACAATTTCTACTACAACCAGTCTCGATTTGATTTCATTTTCCCTTACTATGACTACTGGTGCTCCAAAACAGACAAAAAAACGACTTCGTAAAAAGGAATAATAAGAATCTAGAAAAGTTATTAACTATAATTCAACACATCAATTCTAATTTTTCAGCTAGGAGAGTTATAGTTCCTTAATCATCAATCACAACTTTATAAACATTTGCTTAAATTAAGTTTGGCCAATCAATACTATAATGATTCCTGAATAAGTGTTGATTATTACCATTAGTGGACATACGTACAACTCAAGGTATTACCTAACTACTGCTGAAAGTTCCCGGAAGGATAAAAAAAATAAAAGTTCCACACCAGAAATTAGATATGCGGTAGAATGGTTTTATGAGGGTTGAAATAAAAACGCAACTAATCGGGGTAGGGACTCTACATGAAACTAAGAAAGATAAAAACTGCTCCAAAGTACTGATCTTAACTTATCCATAACACGCACAGGGAGGCTCCTGAAAATTCAAGGAAAACATCTATCATTTATATCACCAGATTTTATACCTAGTTAATTTATATTTATTTTTATACAATAAAAACTGTGAAAGATAACTTCAGTAATATTCACATAACAATTAAAAATAAAATGAATAATAAAATATCTCTTTAGACAACCCAGAAAAAATTCCGATTTATGATGAACCATATTGTATTAAATTAATTTATACACTGACAGGCAAAAAATTCCACCCACTTGTAAAAAAAGTTGTATTTGTATATAATACATGGTATTTGTAGATAAGACTTAGTATTTATGGAATTGTATAATCTTTTTTACCTTTAATAATAATAAATGTGACTGAGTAAGAAAGATTAGACAAAAAAAAATTGAATAACGAACCATTATTATTCTAAAAGAAATTAATTACATCATTGTTTAGTAGCGCGTGTTTCCTCCTCTTGCCTTCACTACTTCTTGAAGACGCCTCGGCATACTTTCCACCAGTCGGGAAATGTCCCTTTGCTGGAGGATAGTCCATTCCATCCCAAGAGCCCTTTGAAGGCCCTGCAGTGTATCAGGAAGTGTTGCACGCTCTCTTAATCGTCTTCCGAGGTTATCCCATAAATGCTCAATGGGGTTCAAATCTGGAGAACGTCCTGGCCAGGCTAAAAACTCAATATTGTTCTGTTGAAGGAACGTCTGCACTATACGGGCGACATGTGGGCGTGCATTATTATAGAACGATCGCCGATTTCGTTGAGGATAGGCAACATATGAGGTTCCAAAATCTCATATACATAACGAATGGCCGTCAAAGACCCTCCAAGAACAATAAGCAATTCTGTGCGGCGCTCCATTGAAATCCTAGCCCACACCATTAAGAAACCACGTTGGAAAGGTTGGCTCTGGGAAAAATTACAGGCTGCATATCTTTCGTTTCTTCTTCTCCACACCCTTTCACTCCCGTCTGGAGATCGAAGAGCGAATCTTGACTCATCTGTAAAAAGTACAGCACTCCATTCGTCTATGGCTGTGTTCTCGAGTAAAAGCCAGCCGTGTTACTCTGTGAGTTCTGGTCAACTCTGGTCCTCTTACTGGACGAAAAGCCGTTAATCCATACTCATTTAATCTTCTCCGAGTGGTACGTTCAGAAATTTGCACACCTCGAACTTTTTCGAGCTGATGAATCGCTTAGTTAACGAATCGGAGACAGTGGAGACTTTATAAATAATGGATTTATTCATAATGTTACAAATGGCATCTAAAATATGATATAAGTAATATAATATGGATATATGAGTTGACTACATCAGTTCACTCCAGGTCTCCTACAGTGAAGAGTCTGATTCAAGAATGTAACTGAATAAGCGATTTTGGTGTGAGGATCTTAGGGTTATATGCTCAGGGATAGTAGGGGGAATGAATCAATTCTGGTCGGTCTAGGAAGCGTGTGAATGAAGTAATATCTATTAAGAATTGATATGAAGTCTGTGAGAAAGTGCTCTTTTGCTGAAAAGGGTTATTGTTTCCTAAGTCTTGATAAGTGTCTTCTGTCCAGTCAGTACATTCTAGATAACTATTTCTAAGCTATCAGAGATAATTTGACCTGGCTATCTAGGGCTTTGATAAAGGCCATGAGAAAGGCAAATGAATGATTTAAATTATTAAATTAAATAATAGTTAATATTAATAGTTGTTACGGATTAAGTCCATTCCGTAACTGCTTGAACAACGGTAAGGTGCCGGTTTCGTAAATTTCTCAAAGTCAAAAACCGGTCATCCCATGGTTCCGTTATCCTAGGCCGTCCAGAACCAGGCCTTCTATTGTAAGAACCAGTTTCCCGAAAACGCCTGACGGTGTCTCGTAAAGTTTCATATGGAACTCATATGGCATTAGCTGCAGATCTAATGGAACGTCCATCATCAATAAGTGCCACACCACGCGTAACATCTTCAGCACTAAGAAGCATTTTTAAACTTAATATTGAAAAAATTAAAAGCCGGAGACTAAGAAATGTGCTGCAAGAAACGGCACTGAACTAATGATACTGAATAAACATTTTGATTCCATAGAAAGTAGTTAAAATCTAGAATCTTTCATTGAATTAAGGATTAAGGGTTATTGTCTTCTATATTAACATTCCTAATTGAAAACAAACAAAAAGATTACCTATTTATTCATTAAAAACAATAGACCAATCCAAAGCAGAAATATTTTTAGATGAAAACATGAAAAAATCAAGTGGGTGGAATGTTTTGCCTGTCAGTATATATATATAAAGCTTTCGGGCTGAAGCCCCCAAAGAAATTAAATCCTGGATCTGCTCGTGCCCTGTGGGATAATTTTTTGTAAACAAAATCGAAAGGTCACGTTGAGATAGGGTCGAAACTTGGAGAGGAAAGGAGGCAAATGCCACGGGCGGCAGAATTTAGAAGGCAATGAATTCAGAGAAAATATTTAGTTAAAAATTATTTCTCTACACCTTTTGGTTGTTGTGACATTGATTCATTCAATGACAAGAATTAAGTTATCTTATGATTATATTTACATACTACAGCAGTATTTTTCAAAAGCCCTCAATGTTCTTATAAATCTATATATAATATAGGATACCTTTATTATATAGGTATGGTTTCTTCAAGGAATATATAAACCGTTAAACAGTGTAAGTGAAAGTAGAATCAAATATATTGTAGATCATATACAATTACAGTTTCTATGGTCTCTTCCATGTTTGGCTAGAAATGAAATTTTACCTTTCATTTTGTAACAGTTTCAGTTTGAATTGAATCTTTATTTTTTTTTTTTTCTCTGAACTAGAACTATTTCACTCGCACTTTTACAGAACCTTTATTTTAAAAACTTTTATTTATAAGTTCTGTTGATTTCGATCTAAAAATGATTTTTATTCTTAGCTACTTAAACCAACGACACATTAGAATCAAACAATTCATTTAAGACAGTAAATAACTCTAAACTAAGCACAATTAGTGTTTATTTCTAATTTAACGTAACTTTTTTTGAGAAATGAAATAAATAAGTTAAATTTTTACCAGAAACATAAACAGAATAGAATATAATAAACAGAACTTTATTATAAAAAGATTCCTTAGAACTTTTATTTTAAAAACTTTTTTCAGAAAAGTTTCACAGAAACTGTTAAAATGGAAATTTTTAAAAAGGTTTATATGCCGGGTTCCACATTTTCCCCTTGTTTGAAAGCTCATCCAATTTGAAACCTCACAAAAATATTGTTCCCTCAAAAAATTTCTAACCCCGTCAAAATGTGCCCCCGTCAAAAATTTTTATAGGCCAACTTACGTGTTGTAACCACATCTGGACACGCCTGGGCGAAAAGAAGAAGAAAGTAGGGACGGCAAAATTAAACTTACCTCTATTATCGAAAATCCTAGTTCCGGCGCTGGGTTAAAGACATATACATACGAGTATTGTCCCTGTGTTTAAAACACATGTTAACAATCCCATGCCCCGAGTTGTAATCACAGTGATGGACCATGAATAATCATGCCTATCGAGCTGTGGTTGCACAAACGCCAGAATGAAAGTCGATTAAAGAAGCAGAAAGATAATAAAAATATGTTCTTATGCCTTGCTAGAGCATATATTGCTTCATAAATTCCTTGATACATCTACATTGGTTTGTTCTCCAGATTTAGTACATCAACATATGTGCCCTATGTACTAACTAATGTGATTAAGTGATTTGACTTGAGATGAACTTAATATTTTTAAAACGGCGCATTATAATAGACAAATACTAACAAGTGTCTGAAGTCGCCATAGCCCTGGAACCGGAGTATAAAAAGGAACCTCATCGCAGGTGGGAGGTTTTAATTTAAATTTTATTTTAAATATTTATCAAAAGCATTCATTTTACATTAAATATTATTATGATTATTAAAAACCATAGAATTTGAATGTGTTAATGAACTAGTGCTATTTTTTTTAGCATATTACTAATGATTAAAAAACAAAAGTTTAGTCCAATAATTGGAATCACCTTTTGTTTATTTTTCTTTGTAACTCGAAAGGTAATGTTACTTTAGATGTATACTTGTTCAAATGAATATCTTACTCATAATAGTAGGAATATTTTAGAAGTCGGTGCTCTGCCGAGATTCGAACCCTAATTGAAAGCTAAAAAAAGAAAAAGAGCTTGACGGGATTGACATGAATTAATATTTTAAAAATCTGGTACGGTATTGTGTTTCCTTTAAGCATTAATTACTTATTTATTGTAGGCGTAATTATGCTAGGATTAGTATGTTTAGGAATGAGTTTGGAAAATATTGTGGGGATGTTAAACCCAAGGAAAAACTGTAAATTTGTTTGTTTTTTTCTGAAAGGGAGAAAAGGCACACAGGAAAAACGATTGGATTGGAATGTTAATTATGACAACTAAATTAATTGAATTTGGTGCATCTTAGTCATTTTTACCGTTTTTAACCAGACATAGCTTACGATACCTATAATAGAATAGTTTTACCTGTGGTCTTATGGTAAGCCATAGAACAAAATCGGTTATTTTCGCGAACTTTACACAGATATGAATTTTCGAATGCCTGATAGTTTGACGCATAACGAACTAATAAAATAATTAGGAAATAACTTTTAAACATAATCACCTAAAAAAACATGTTGAATGAATTTTTTTTAGTGAAATAGTCATTCATTGATAGTAATATGAATTGGATGGATTCCATCAGAATTCCATTAGGAAGCAATATTTACAGAAAATAAGATGAAAGAAATTTTATAAAACTTCAGTAGAGATATCAAGTCGATTAAGGGTCATATAAATATGGAATGTGCATTCGCTTACCCTGTACAACTGTCCTTCTTTTTCCAAGTGCTCGATATACTCTTCTTGTCTTCTGAGGTAAGGTGGCGCAGGCACTTCTTCCGCAGGGCTCCTGAATCTCGACGACTCCAGAGGGTACACAGGGCTCTCTGACCAATCTTTTTCGGCCACCGTACCTCCCATTGCCTGGACAAAAAAAGCGGGTGTAGTTCAAAATACTGTCGTTTGCTTATAAATGATAGCAGAAAAAATAAGATATTCATCTAAGGAATTTTATTCATTAACCAATTTAAAAATGAAGATCCATTGAAAGTCTATACTTTGAAAGATCTTATAAAAAGTTCTCTACAAACTATTTTTATTCCGCATTTATCTATTTCAAGGGACAGGATAAAAATCTTTCCCGAAGTTATCCCATTCCTATACAACCTTTCTCTAAAATGCAATTAACATCAGAATCAAAATTTCAATTTTTATCCGATCCTGCTGATACTATCTTTTATTTATGTATTAAGAAGGAATATATATGACAAAATCAATTCATAAAATAAAAAGTATACGTTATGATAAGTGATTTTTGTACTATGAACTGTCCCATAAGTAAATTATGAGGCCTTCTACGAGATCTTCTTCATGTATTATGAATTTCCTTTTCAAAATTTAAAAACAAATAGAAGGCTGCTATCCGGTCAGAGAGTGATGAGTCTAGGTGGCTCTAAAAACTGAGCAATTTTATAACATAATATTTGATATTTTGAAACATACCTCTCCCTAAATGGAAATACAACAGAATTATGGATGAACCATAGAAAAGAGTTCAATAATGTTATTAATTCCATCTCTATATTGGATTCTAATTATAACATAATCACAGATGGGCATAAGCATAATCAACTAATACGATTACACTGAATACACGATTACAATCGTAATCAGGTTTCAGATTGTTATCAGGTAATTGTGTCACATTTTTGTTATATTTATAGTGATTTTGGATCAAGTATAAAGTTGGAGTGTTCATTAAGTTCTATTTTCAGTTGTAATCATGTAATCAGTGATTCAGATTTTTCCCATATCTGAACATAATATTTTTATTTATTTTATTTTTTTATTTGTTTATTTAGAAATATAATAATCTGTCACGTGGACAATAATTATAGTGATATATGAACACATTCAGACCAAAACAGAATATAGCCGCATAAAAAGATTTATTTAATTTTTTTGCCATCTGAAATAAATTTCTGGATCTATCCTTACTATAACTGACATGCCAGAGGTTTTCAATTATTGCAAGGACCATTTAAGTGTTATTTTTGTGTAAAAGATCGTTATAATAATTTATGGCACAAGTTTCGGTCATCTGTAAATTTCCAAGTAAATTTCGGTTATTATTTGGCTAATGAGATATTCTTGATAATGTACTTACCAATCGTATAAAACAAGCACAGCTAATACATTCATAGAATTATCTATAATTTTAACATTATATTTATTTATAAACATTATTTATTAACCTTGAGTTGAAATAACGTAATAGATGTACAAGATAGTTCTTCAAAGAGGCTCTTAAGATAATCGATCTACGACTGATTCAGATGGCATTCGTCGCGTGCGTGTGTCAGGTGGCGTGTGTCGTTACTCCCTCCCTCCCCCCCCCCTCATCCCCTGAACCTCATTTCGGATATTGCTACCGCTCAATTAAAACTTTCTTACACCGCATAATTATCTCTATGCAGTATTACATTTGGTTCAGTTGTTATTGACGAACACTTCCTAAATTTAGTTTACGATCTGTCTTTCAAGGGCCAATCCCAATTTAAAAATTTGGACACTTCTTGAAGAAATATCGGCACAGAAAACAGTGAGGTTTGAAATTTAATATTTCATTAGACAGACAAATGACATTTTCAAATTCCCACTACTTGTACTTTGAATCTCTGCTGTACACCGTAGCCAGAGCTGTCGCGTGATGCGCCAATGTCAAGGGGACGCCTCGAATTGGAGATAAACATTAAAGCCAATTATTAGAGAACCTGATTTAAGTAAGAGGACTAATAAAGTATGCAGTCAGAAAGATTTTAGAAAAACATACAAACCAATAAAAAATGCTTCTCAATCTACTAAAGGTATAACAATAACGTGTGCTTTTATCATAGTCTGATATTGTATGCCAACCTTAATATTAATTTTGTTTATAGTTCAATGAGAAAATAAATTGTTGGCTGTTAAGTGTATTTATAAGAAAAGTATAAGTTCACGGCTATTCGGTGGAATAGGTCAGACAGATACATTATTAAACATACCTACCTCTAAAAAAGTCACCCTGTAATTTTGTTTACTAATTGATACCCTCTACAAATAAACCTATAACTTTGTTTACAAACTGATAACCTCTACAAATAAACCTATAACTTTGTTCAAAAATTGATACATTTTAAAAATAAACCTTCTAAACTGAAGCTTAAGTGGAATGATTGCTTTAAGGCTGATCTTGCGGGGTTGAATTTGGACTGCGGCCAATAAATTGGAGTACATATACAACTTTTAGTGGTTTATTACTATCAATTAATTATTTTAGTTGATTGGTAAATTAATTACTATTAATATTATTGAAAAAAGACAATCATATTTCTTAAAAATAACTGTAATACCAGTTTTAATGACTAACATAACAAAGAGGTGGTTTAAGATTTGGAATTTACTTTTATTTCATCATTCAACTTTCCTTCTCGATTTAAGCACATAACCTGCTGAAGGATAGTAACGAGTTTTTGTATTTTGGGTTTAATGTTAATCCTCTTATCATTATATTCGTGAAATTGATGAAAAATTAGGAAAGTCGAGTTATGTGAATAATCATTTGATGATCTCAATATAAATCCTTAAGTAGAAATAAATAAAATAATATAGCTTCCGCTATATAATTTAACTGAAGTTTTTGCTTAAAATGAAGTTATTGATGATACTGACTCTTCTTTAAGATTAAATACAATTTTTCGTTTAAAAAAAGTTTTAACTTCGCTTAGGTCTTTGTCAATTTCATTTTCACTAGTTTTGACATATTTTCTATAAAAATCTGAGGTAAAGTATTTTCTTATTAAACTATCTTCAAAAGTTAAATAATATCATGTAAATAAATGATAAAAAAATGAATAACTTATCAAATTTTTAAACTCCTCTAAAATCGAGATTAGAAAGAATGTTCTCAAACCAAATATTTCTTAACAAAATTACAAGATTTTGGGAATGATTTGGACCTTTGGCCTGAAAGATTTATATCTAAAAAAGTTATAAATTTGAATAAGGTACTAGTTTTTTGTTTTGTTTTTTACAACCGGTACATACATCAACATTAACATTAAAAACAACTTAAATATTACCTTGTTTTAATGAAAAATCATGCTGTCTATAGGCGGTACACTATACATTTTTTAAGTACTCTAATGATACAATAATAGTTTTATAATGTATAAAATATACTTACAATTGGCTTGCGCTGGGCTCCGACGGGTGTATAGGATTCAGCCAGCAGGTATTTCAGCTTGGCGACGGCTTCCCTGTAGGCTAGCTCGCTGTAGTCCGGCATCCTCTTCCGATACAGGTCCATCTTTGGCGTCTTCCTGCAACCCATCGCCGGGCGTGAGCTGGACAACTCAAGAACATGGACCTAGCTAGGAGTCGCTGGCGGCACTGGCTGCGTGCCCGCCCCCACTTCCTCGGAGGGTTACTATGAAAACTGCCCACAACAATATTGTACCAAAGCTTTCTGCGTACCATTTACACTATTCGCCGCTCTTAATGGTATTCGATCTTCGGGATAACAGTTGGAATATCAACACTTATGAAAATGAAACTGAAAACGTATTAACTAAAAGGAACAAATTCGATTCGGATTTTATTCGATCCACTATTTTATAATTTTTTTATTTTTATTAATTAACATATAATCAGGTTCATAAACATTGCTCTGTGTAACTTGTTCAGCGGTGTTAGTCCACGTAGTTAATATCTTTACCAAGGTACATAAAATATATACTAATAAAAGTTGTATCATAAAATATGTATTTAATTTACTAACAAAAATTAATATTAGAACATTACATGAAATTTGCAATATGCAAATTTCGTTGATTGCTTGACAGCATTTCATTGCGGGATACAAATAATCGTCGTGCTGGACTGTGGGGATTCATTGTACGAATTTCTGTCAGAGTATTCATGCTGTAAGTCTGTCTTAGGTGTCAAATCAAGAAGTGTGCAAGAAGATAAAAGAAGAAACAGGGCTCAAAACACACTCTCGCAAATAAGAAAAAGCAAATGGAAATGGGCTGTACATCTCCTGCGATGCAATGACAATAGATGGTCAAAAATAGTCACCGAATGGACTCCATATGACCGGAAAAGGATGAGAGGCCGACAAATGAAGAGATAGAGAGATCCATTTAGGCTTTTGGCAGGACCTCTCTGGTGGAGAGCAGCTTAGGGACCAGAGATGTGAGGAAAGAAAAATGGTTAAAGGTCAGAAATCCCGTTTCCCAGTAGGGCCAGTCACCCAAGGAAGTGTTAAAGACTATTACTCCTAAGGGAAGGCCTATCCTATGCAAGAATTGTGAAAAGTTTTGTATAAATTATAAAAATGTAAAAAATTGTTTTATTTTGTTTTGTTTTCTTTTGTAATTGTATGTTTTCATAGAAATAATATTTATGCATAAATAAAGGCTATTTTAATTTCATTTTATTTCATATATACACAGACCTATCATAGGACAATAACACTTAATTGGCTACATTTACCGACGATACAGCGATTCTTAGCTCAGATAAAAATTCGCTTTTGCTATTCCCTACTCTTCAAAATCATTTGGACGATATTACGATTCGACTATAAGTTGGAAATCTAAAATGAATGGATAAAAGTATATGGTATTCACGCTCATTTAGAGATATTGCCCAAATTTATATTTCAATGACTTTGAAACTCAAATATCTAATAAAATTATTAGATATCAATATAAAATACTTTGATTTTTATTGATTTAGTTAGAAAAATAAATAACATGGAGAACTGACATTATACAAAGACGAATACAATTAAACAGATGATACAGTCTTTTATCCAGCTCATTCAACATTATTATTTAAAAAAGAACTAACCTTGTACAACGTTTAACTGAACCCAATTTGGACTTACCGGACAGAACAGTGGCAGCATATAACTTGGATGCTTTCACTGATTTTTGGGATGTCTATGATAGAATTTATAAAAATGACCCAAGTTATAGCCTATTCAGACGACGTCATAATCATCGGTAGATCCCTTTAGAGCATTAGGATGGCTTTTGAAGCGATGGATGTCGAAGCAAAAAATATCGGTCTGCATATCAATGGTGAGAAAACGAAGATTATTATATTGAGCAAGAAGTCACTGGATCAGTGGCAGAGTCGCTTTTTAACGGGCCTCTACAATTTCGAAGTGGTCGTAAGCTTTTCTTACCTTGGCTCTTTCATCAACGATAGCCACAATGAAGGAGAAGAAGTTAAAAGCAGAATAGCAGCAGGAAATAGAACCTATTTCGCCATTTTAAGGCTAATCAAAAACAAACTCGTTAGCCATATCACCAAGTTTATGCTTTTCAAGGCACTGATAAGGCCAATAGTCCCATACAGTGGAGAACCCTCGAACGTGAACCCTAAGCAATAAAAAACATTAACCCGGTAAACAGGTTTGAAAGGGTAATTCCGAGAAGAATATTAGGGTCCGTATGCGAGAATGATAATTGCCGAAGAAGGATAAATAGTGAGGTTTATTAGGCTCTATAAGGAATGTAGCATCTCTTCGTATATTAAGATACAGAGGCTTAAGTGGCTTGGTCAGGGAATTTCTCTTTTCAGAAAACAACTGCTCTTTCGAACTTTCTTTGGAACCTTTTTTTCCACTATCCAAGGGAGAGAGGAGCGCGCCCTCTGGCAGAAATCATTAGCGCTGGACCCGATAATAATGTTTTTGTTTTTTTATATTACATTAGAAACTTCGCCTATGAGAATACATTTTCTCTATATTTCTCTTTTCTTTAAATAGCTGATTTTTGGAACTTTTTTTTCCCTCATCCTGAGGAGAGAGGGACGCGCCCTCCGGCTGAATCCGCTAGTACTGTCACGATATTAATTTTTTTTATAATACATTAGGAAATTCTTTTATGAGGATGAATTTTCCCTTTAATTCTCTTTTCTTTAAATAGCTGCTTATTGGAATTTATTTCCAGCTCTCAGGAGAGGAGTAGGCGCCTTTGATACCTGGGCCATCACAATATTGAAAAAGATAGGATCAAGAATGAAACTCGTTTTCGTTTTCTGATAGAATCTAAAGGGTGCAGATCTTATAGCATTGAAGCGAACTATACTTCATAGGTCAAGAGATACATATTAACTTTCCTGCATTTATCAGGTTCGGTAGTATATTGGTCTCTCCCTACGTATTCCAGATTTCTTAGTGAGAAAGTGAGACCAACGTAGCTCTACGTACCAAAGTAGAGACAAACGTTAGAATACGTATTAAATGAGAACGGGGATGAGATAGAAAAAACAGATAATATGTTATTTAAAGGACAGAGGATGAAATAGATTACAAAATTTGGCAAGATTGGTTGTCCTGCCGATATAACTCCAAAACTAATTCAATTTGAAGGTATTGAAAACTCTACTCTAGACTCTATTTCAGAAAATTTGTAATGAAAAGAAAATACCGGAGGAGTAGGATCAAAATATTATTATTTCCATCCATTCGAAGGGTATTCAGACTATCTGTGAAAATTATAGACCTATTTGCATATTCTCCGTTGTGAAAGTATACACTCGTACATTGGAATGACGTCTATAGGTTTATATTGAAACATACATAGAGAAGGAGCAGACTGCTTTTCGTCCTGGCAGATAATTAAAGTCTTGTTTTAAAATTTAAAAGATTCAAATTTTCCATCAATTTTATGTGAGGTTTCTGAGATGTATTTAATTTAAAACCAAAATTGTATCAGTAATTGATTCCCGATTGATAAGCTTAAAATACATTGACATTTGTTTAAAAATTTAATAATTCGTGTTAAGTAGTGTTTTACATTAATTTTAGCAGTTTGAAATGGTTCCAAAACCTCAATTTTTTCAACACAAACTTATAATTTTCAAATAAGGATTCACCAACAACCCAGAAAGGCGACTTTTATTAAAACGTATGCTTATTCTTTTATTCTGTATTTTGTAATTAATATCAATTTATGTGTTAAAATATTTATTATTAAATATTAGTTTTGATGCTTTTAATTTTCAAACTTTTATTATAACTTTGTTTTCTTTTTTTTATCAAATTAAATTTTATTCGTAAGTTCTAAAAACACAATATTGTAATATACCGAAAACACGAAGAAATGAATTAACTATCGTTAGCATTAGTTCGATGAAAATACCATTAAAATAAAATTAGATAGTTACAAATTCTTTAATGAGTGAACATGATTTGATTTACTGAATTCAACATAACAAAGATTTATAGTAACCTACGTATGTTCAGTTCAAACACGCTCTTCAACAAGTCCAAAATTGACATAATCTTTCAAAACAATTTAACAAAAATATTAAAATAAAAACTTACTCTTCAATAATTAGATAATTGTTGAATCAGTTTAGTTACACAATCGTAGAAACCAGCGAATCATAGAGGCTATTATAAATTTGTAATCCGATGATCAGAAAACAAATTACATATATATATATATATATATATATATATATATATATATATATATATATATTAATAATTTAAATATTCTATAAGTCAACTATAGTTTTCAAATTTTAAACTTTCAAAAACCTTCAAATTATTCAGTGTTAATTAAAACATAGATCTAAAAAAAAAAAAATTTTCTACATATTTTAATATAGGTAAGTCAAAAACATGGCCAGGATAAGTTAACTGTACTATTCATCAAGCTTTCTACACACTATGAAGAATTAATCAGCTCACAGCTCTAATAGTTTTAGGTTTCTAAAGAAGTGGGGTTTTGTCTGTTAAATAGCTTAACTTCTTAGTTAAATCAACTTAGTACACTTTAGCGCAGCAACAACTTACAAAAAAATACAAATGCCAAATTAACAAGTTATTGATTTTAAAGCATCTTTGTGGATAACTACATGTAACTATTTGCTCACAGATATGTTATTATTTTATATTGTTAGGTAAGTCTGGTGAATAATTTCGTAAGCTCTAGTGAATATTCTCATAACCAATGGAAATTCATTATATTGGAATCTCCTTTCCACCGAGGCAACTTATCGAACCAGCCCTTGATAGTAGAAGAGGAACAAACAGTCGTGATGACGAAGGGTTAGTCACGATATAGAATGCCGTGACTTGAGGTATAGCTGCCGTGGAGAGATATCTCACCAGTGTGTACTATATATATAGCAGTGGAGCACAACTGCTCTATAACTCCGTTCAACACGTCACATAGCCTGAGTCTATACATTATTGCAAGTTTCACAGCCACATCGGAGCTACCTCATTACCCACGACCTAAATTGCCCATCAAACCAAATCACGTGGGAATAACAGATCAGGAGCATCGCAAAG